TTTCAATCTTAGTGTAAATAATATCTTGTATTTGTGTGTGCTGATGGCTGGTTGGTGCGGGATAGACACACAGACAGACAGTGATAGGTGTTTGTGGGATATAAAGAGCACGTGGAAACGTATAAATAGGGTGTTGAAATGAATGCATCCGAATGTGTGCATATGGTGTAGGTTTTATTTGTAAATGTATGAAGGGTGCTGAAAAATCCTTGCCCCACTCCTAAAATAAAAAGAACTTCAGATGTTTATCTGTTTATATCTCTGAGATAAGGTATTATGATTAATTTACATTATTCGGACTGTTATCCTCATCTTCATTGCCATATTCACAAAGTTTCGGTCGTTGTACGCTCCGGCCTTCTTCAGGTGACTGGAAGTTTTCTTCAATATCTGTCTATATCTCTGAGATGAAGTATTATGATTACTTGCATTATTTACATTATTCGAACTGTTATCCTCATCTTGATTGCTATATTCACAACGTTTCGGCCATTGTACTCTCCGGACTTCTTCAGGTGACTGGAATTTTTCTTCAATATCTGTCTATATCTTTGTGATGAGCTATTATGATTACTTGAATTATTTACATTATTTGGACTGTTATCCTCATCTTCATTGCCATATTCACAACGTTTCGGCCGTTGTACGCTCCGGCCTTTTTAGGGTGGTAGGAATTTCGAACCGAACCCTTTATTTTGTCCACCGTGGGAGATTGTTCTAGCTCCACGTGCCGTGTATCTTTCGGGTATCTCAGTTATGTATCTGAGATTACAAAGTATCTACTAGAAAGAGCGTTACAAATGTGACAACGGGTATTTGTTGGCGTCACTTAATTTACAATTCGAATGTTTTTCGAACAATTTTCTCGATATGGTGTCAGGTTGCTCGAAAGAAAAAGAACTCTAAACTCAGAACCGTGGAGATAGCAACAGGAAATCAATATATTGTCTTCCCCAAAAGTCTTAGTAATTTTTAGATAATAAAGAAAAAGAAGATGCGGAGAACCATGTCCGACTGACTCCCGAATATGTAGGTAGTGTAATGGGCATCGTTTCAGAAAGAAAGGAGTTGTAAAGAAGACAAAGGAGTGGGCGTATGTGGAAAAAAAAGAATGGAGCAATAGAAAGAAATAGAAAAGAAAGAAAGAAAGAAAGAAAGAAAGAAAGAAAGAAAGAAAGAAAGAAAGAAAGAAAAAAGAAAGAAAGAAAGAAAGAAAGAAAGATAGAGAGAGAGAAAGAAAGAAAGAAAGAGAAAGAAAGAAAGAAAGAAAGAAAGAAGGAGAGAAAGAGAGAAAGAAAGAGAGAAAGAAAGAAAGAAAGAAAAAGAAAGAAAGAAAAAAGAAAGAAAGAAAAAGAAAGAAAGAAAAAAGAAAGAAAGAGAAAGAAAGAAAGAAGGAGAGAAAGAGAGAAAGAAAGAGAGAAAGAAAGAAAGAAAGAAAGAAAGAAAGAAAAAGAAAGAAAGAAAAAAGAAAGAAAGAAAGAAAGAAAGATAGAGAGAGAGAAAGAAAGAAAGAAAGAAAGAAAGAAAGAAAGAAAGAAAGAAAGAGAGAAAGAGAGAAAGAAAGAGAGAAAGAAAGAGAGAAAGAAAGAGAGAAAGTAAGAAAGAGTTCAAAAATAAAAACCTTGATGAAAAGAGAAACCTAAAAGTCTCAATGAGAAAAATAAAAATGGCTGAATAGAATGAGCTCTCACACTATAGTGATATGGTGCAGTAGGTAATGGCTGCTCCAGTTACTGCTACGTAGTAACTACTTATTTAAGATGTTGCATACTGAGAAAGACAATATTCAGAAAATGCTTTTGAACTTCCATCGTCATGAATGGATTGTTACCTTGAAAAGACTGACTTCAAAAAGTTCAGAGGTCATCCATGAACCACCATAGTCACAACGCTGAACGGAGACATTCAAAGAACAAAGCAGAAAGATCCCACTTTTCCTTTGGAGAAGTTTACAATCAAGGAAGATCTGTAACGAATCCGTAAACTCGCAGAGGACAGAGAAGGTTGGCGAAATATTGTCAATACAATGTCACTGAAGATGAGAGAACATTTTAATTCCTAACCTCAGATCAGTTTTGATGATAATGACTATAGTTGACAGCCAGTCTCGGAGAAAAATATTCAAAACCTTTGAAGAAGGTACAGGGAAATTATCTTTCTAAAAAAAAAGGAAATAAATCATGGTGATTCACACACACTAATAAAAAGGAAGGTGAGAAGAGACATCTTTGAAGGTAGATGGCATTTAAATATGAAACCGTCCTGAGTATGACGATAAACTGCATCCGCGTCCTGGGTAACACGATAAACTACGTCCAACAGCAAGGCTTCTGATCAGGAGGCTTGAAGAGCGTGGAACCACCTCTTAATTGCTGGTTTTACCAGGTCCACCCTGACCCCGAGTGGTAGCACCTGTTAGGGTCCCAGCTATGGGCAAATAGTTAACACTCAGATTACATTCGCGTCCTGGGTATGACGATAAACTACATCCGCGTTCTTGGTAAAACGATAAACAGCAAGGCCTCTGATATTACGTTTTTGAAAAAGTAATGTTACCAGTTATACGTTTTTGAAAAAATATATCAACAGAAATGGATTTTTGACAAAACGAAAATATTACCAGGAAAATAAAAGTTGTCGGCATTAAATGACCCATTGAGGTTGATATGCTGTAAAACAAACCAAACCAAACTAAATACAGTGTAACCCCGGTATAAGAGACCCGGATATAAGAGAAACCCTGATATAAGAGAGATTTTCTCTGGTCCCAAATTAGAGCCTGTGTTAATGTATATAGATTAGACCAAACCCGGATATAAGAGAAACCTGGATATAAGAGAGATTTTCTCTGGTCCCAAATTAGAGCCTGTGTTAATGTATATAAAATAGACCAAATTCGGATATAAGAGAAACCCGGATATAAGAGACTTCTTCTCCGGTCCCGACAACTCTCTTATATCCGGGTTACACTGTATTAAAGAAATTAAAATTCTAATTTTAATTATTATCATTTCTTGGACTCGCATAATTTTCTCACCAATACTTTCCTGGAGTTGAACCGGGAACGTATCAAGTACACAATCCAAGACTTTCCTTATTATTCTCGCTAATTTTCACAGACGTTAAAAAAGAAATGGTAGGAAGGCTGTGATTGTTTATATCGTAAAGGATCTTCTTTTATGTGACGTGTCCCTTTAGAAGGTAGGTAATCATGGCTCTCCACGTATCCCTATCCGTTATAGTTCTCAATGATTTGTCCTTTAGCTATTTCTCTCAAACTCTGTTTTGCCATCCATTTGCTTAAGCTCGCTAAGTATGTCACGCATTGCTTTCCCTTGTCACTCTTTCACTCTATTCGCCCTGTGAGTATCAGATTCTCCGAGACATCCTTTCTTACGTATCCCAGAAATTTCAGCTGCCTCATCCTGATGTATAAGCTTCCTCCTTGTTTGCATCCTCTCCAAAACCTCATCTTTGCTCATACGCTCGATCCATGATATCCTTAGCATCCTTCTGTAGTACCATACCTCTAGTGTCTCGAGTCTCTTCATCTTTGAGAAGACCGTCTAACATTTGCTGCCGTAAATGAAGACAGATGTCACGTATCAGTTCAGTACTCTTTGTTACCAAAGAAATCCTCCTGTCTCTTAATACTCTGCCTAGCTTTTTGGAATGCGTCTTTGGCCATGCCACGACGTCTTCGGATCTCAGCGTCGCACTGACGGTCCTCTGTCAGAACACTTTCCCGATCTTTGCTAACACGCTCGATCCATGATATCCTTAGCATCCATACCTCCGTTGCCTCGAGTCTCTTCTTTATCTTTGAGGAAACCGTCCAACATTCGCTTGCCGTAAAGAAGGGAAGATGTCACGTAGCAGCTAAGTACTCTTTTCTTTGTTACCAAAGAAATCCTCCTGTCTCTTAATACTCTGTCTAGCTTTTGGAATGCGTCTTTGGCCATCCCAATACGTCTTTGGATCTCAGCGTCACATTGACGGTCTTCTGTCAGAACACTTTCCAGATCGTTCCCTCATCCTTCATCGTTGCTCACACGCTCAGTCTATGACATCCTCAGCATATTTCTGTAGAACCATACGTCAGTTGCCTCGAGTCTCTTCTTCATCTTTGAGAAAACCGTCCAACATTCGCTGCAGGAAATGTGAAACATAACATTTTATAAAGAAAATAACACTTTTGAATGTGACCTACAAAAACCCACAGTAGGATTTGGTTTAGAGTTAGTATTACCAAGACTTGTTTTAATATTCAAACTTGAATTAAAGACTGGTATAACGAATTTGGGGCGTGAATGTTTGTAATCAAGTTGAACAATACTCTTAAGAAAGATATAAATTTAATCGGTCACATTGTTATTAGTATGGAAAAAAAGAATTAACTCGATCGATCAAGAGTGCCTCTTCGACACTGGGGATATATGGTGTGTTTTTTTGTTTCTCTGGGAAGAATAATTTTGATGTCATTTTGTAGCATTTATTTTTCAGTTTTCTTTTTCGTTATTTTTTTTTCTTGAGATTTGAATTCGGTTTGTATGTTGACAGTCAGTTTGCACTTGATTTGGCTGTTCCTATGGAGAGAGATAGAGAGAGAAAAAAAAAAGACCGAGGTGAGTATTTTTAACACAAGTTACGGGGTACAAAAGAATGTTCGCAGCAGAAAATGAGTATTAAAAAATACGAAAAGAAAGACAAATAGGGACATAAGAAAGAAAGAAAGAAAGAAAGAAAGAAAGAAAGAAAGAAAGAGAAAATGATGAGTTGTAAAGAAGAAAAGGAGTGGGCGTAAGAATAAAGCAAAACAAAGAAAGAAAGAAAGAAAGAAAGAAAGAAAGAAAGAAAGAAAGAAAGAAAGAAAGAGAAAATGATGAGTTGTAAAGAAGAAAAGGAGTGGGCGTAAGAATAAAGCAAAAGAAAGAAAGAAAGAAAGAAAGAAAGAAAGAAAGAAAGAAAGAGAAAATAATGAGTTGTAAAGAAGAAAAGGAGTGGGCGTAAGAATAAAGCAAAACAAAGAAAGAAAGAAAGAAAGAAAGAAAGAAAGAAAGAAAGAAAGAAAGAAAGAAAGAGAAAATAATGAGTTGTAAAGAAGAAAAGGAGTGGGCGTAAGAATAAAGCAAAACAAAGAAAGAAAGAAAGAAAGAAAGAAAGAAAGAAAGAAAGAAAGAAAGAGAAAATGATGAGTTGTAAAGAAGAAAAGGAGTGGGCGTAAGAATAAAGCAAAAAAGAAAGAAAAAAAGAAAAGAAAGAAAGAAAGAAAGAAAATAATGAGTTGTAAAGAAGAAAAGGAGGGGCGTAAGAATAAAGCAAAACAAAGAAAGAAAAAAAAGAAAAGAAAGAAAAGAAAGAAAAAAAAAGAAAGAAAAGAAAATGATGAGTTGTAAAGAAGAAAAGGAGGGGCGTAAGAATAAAAAGCAAAACAAAGAAAGAAAAGAAAGAAAGAAAGAAAGAATGAATGAATGAATGAAAGAAAGAAAAAGAAAGAAAAATAATGAGTTGTAAAGAAGAAAAGGAGGGGAGTAAGAATAAAAGCAAAACAAAGAAAGAAAGAAAGAAAGAAAGAAAGAAAGAAAAAAAAGAAAGAAAGAAAGAGAAAATAATGAGTTGTAAAGAAGAAAAGGAGTGGTCGTAAGAATAAAGCAAAACAAAGAAAGAAAGAAAGAAAGAAAGAAAGAAAGAAAGAAAGAAAGAAAGAAAGAGAAAATAATGAGTTGTAAAGAAGAAAAGGAGTGGGCGTAAGAATAAAGCAAAACAAAGAAAGAAAGAAAGAAAGAAAGAAAGAAAGAAAGAAAGAAAGAAAGAGAAAATAATGAGTTGTAAAGAAGAAAAGGAGTGGGCGTAAGAATAAAGCAAAAGAAAGAAAGAAAGAAAGAAGTCGAAGACAAAAAATAAAATTTAAAGACGGAGGAGAAAGCTTATGTGGAAAGAAGAAAAGAGCAATAGAAAGAAAGAAAGAAAGAAAGAAAGAAAGAAAGAAAGAAAGAAAGAGTTGTAAAGAAGACAAAGAAATGGGTGTATGAGGAAATAAGAATAGAGGAATAGAAAGAAATAGAAAAGGATAAAGAAACGAATTGAAGAAAGAAAAAGAAAGAAAGAAAATAAAGCGAGATAGAGAGATAAATAAGAATAAAAGACAGAAAAGAATATAGAAAGAAAGAAAGAAGGATTGAAATAGCGATAAAAAAAGGCTAACCAAATAAAAAGGAAACCAAACAAAACAATGTTTTTAAACACAAAATAAGAAAGAAATAAAGGAATGAAGAAAGACGGAAAGAAAGAAAGACGGAAAGAAAGAAAGACGGAAAGAAAAAAAGACGGAAAGAAAGAACGATATGCATACAAGAACTAACGAAGAACAAAAAAGAAAGAAAGCGAGAAATAGATAAAGAAATTATAGACAAATAATAAGAAGAAAAATGATAAAATTTTTTTAAAAAAGTCAAATTGAACGAAAGACCCCAAACCTGATTCAAGATATGTAGAGTCTGTGTAATTCAAATCGGTTCTGTCACATAACAAAATTCACAAGGACAGAAAAAAAACATAATAATAATAATAGTAAGAAAATAAAAAAAAATCCCCAAAGAACATCAATAGTAAGAGTAAAAAACAACACTCAAGTGATAGGCTGAATACAATAGAAGCGAACACAGGTGTTGGGCGGAATTCGCGCCTTATGTCATGCCGGCGAAAAAAAAAAAAAAAAAAAAACAGTAAAAAAGACAATAAGTAAAGAAACTATGAATTACTTGTAGGAAGTGGGGTAGGAATCGGGTGACATTTCCACCCAAAAGGATGAGTACCTGCTGGGTGTCTTCTGACTTTGCCCGGTCTTCGTCGATGTCAGGTGTACGCATTCGTTCCGGGTCAGAATCGGACAAAAGAAGACCTGCTGTGTGCGTAGCATTACAACGAGCACTGCACTTGCTGTGTTCATCAAGCAACGCTTTATAATAATGGGTGTCGTCTTCTCTATGAGTAAGACTATTGCTTCGAGCTGACGTTTTAATATACACATATATTAAGAAAACACTGACACTCTAAAACAAAACAAAAACCGTTCATACAGTACAAGCCTCAAGATTCGCTCAAGGTAGGGTGTTACTGAATGAGGTTGTTGGCGTAAAGGTGATATATGTTGTAGAAATAACGGTTGACCCTAGATTTTATTAACTTAAGATTGGCAGTTAGGTCTCATCATTTTACTGATGAAATTGCGATATGCAACTGTAAGTTCTCGTAATTCTCGCCCGTGGAAATCCCTTCCAGCATACCGCCTGTGAATCTCTCCTCACTCTGTGGAACTCTTTTCCGGGTTCTCGCCTGTGAATCTCTCTTCCGTCTTAACGTATGTGTAACTCTCTTACGGCTTCTCGCATGTGGAAGTCACTTCCGGCTTCTCGCTTGTGGAAATCTCTTTCGACTTCTCATCTGCAGAACTCTCTTCCGGCTCCTCGCCTGGGAATCTCTCCTCCGTCTTAACGTATGTGTAACTCTTTTACGGCTTCTCGCATTTGGAAGTCTCTTCCGGCTTGTCGCCTGTGGAACACTCTTCCGGATTCTCGCCCGTGGAACTCCCTTCCGGCTTCTCGTCTGGGAATCTCTCCGCCGTCTCAACATATGTATTACTCTCTTACGGCTTCTCGCATGCAGAAGTCTCTTCCTGCTTCTCGCATGTGGAAGTCTCTTCTGGCTTGTCGACTGTGGAACACTCTTCCGGCTTCTCGGCTGGGAATCTCTCTTCCGTCTTAACGTATGTGTAACTCTCTTACGGCTTCTCGCATGTGGAAGTCACTTCCGGCTTCTCGCCTGTAAAACTCTCTTTCGACTTATCATCTGTGGAACTCTCTTCCGGCTTCTCATCTGTGGAACTCTCTTCCGGCTTCTCATCTGTGTAACTCTCTTCTGGCTTCTCGCATGTGGAACTCTCTTTCGGCTGTAAACTATAATCTTCAGAATTGTAAATGCAATGTCAATCGTCATCTGGCTTTTTTAAAAAAATCTTTTTCTTTTGTTCTCCATTTTCCTCAATAAGATTTTCCCAGTTTCCTTCATTTTAAATCTCCCCTTTTATTCTTAGTGGCTTTACCGCCTTGCTTGCAGTGAGAGGATATTAAAATGTGGTTTACCAATGAATTACGAAGAGAATGAACTGACCCTATGTACATGGCATGAAGGTTCCTAGCTGTAAAGGCCTGAATCGATGAAACTAAGGAATATAACTCGTCGTAACATATTAGGGGGGGCGATTTTGGAACTGTTGTATTGCACTCATTTTAAAGTTGGAGATTGACATGATAAATAATGACATAAAATATGTTTTTCCAAATCTTTACCGTTTTGAGAGAAAACGAACTTAAAGATTAAATTTTGGTTCAAAATTGAAGACTTAGAATTTCATCCCGGTGATCATAACCAGTGAAAACCTTATAGCACAGCCATATGAAATTCATAATTGAAATATACCAGGCGAAACAGCAAAATTGTCCAAATCGAGCAGCAACAATGTTGTTCAATTGATAAAGTAAGCTTTGAACCGTTATATCGTAGAAATAATTAAAGATATCTTACTGGAATTCTCAGAGGGTTTTATAACGCCATTGGACTCTACATTGAGCAATAAGAATGTATTTATCTCTAAGTTGAAATGGTGATCCCCCTTGCTATTGTGACCTCCTAATCGAGTTTTCTTCTCTACTGTCCCCGCTATTTTAAATTTATTCACCGTTCTCTCGATGGTTCTTGAATGGACTTTGAAGATGGAAGCCAGAGTATGAATGTTGGTACCATTTCTGAAGGCCTGGATGATCATTTTCCTCTCACCATTGCTCAGTTAGGAACACATAGTGGGACTGACATAAAACGATTTTAACCTGTTCTCTTTCTAGCTGAATAACTCAAAGGGTTTCTCAGTGATTCTTACGAGAAATGGTGTCAAGATGGCTAAACGTCTTTTTTGAAAACCTGGATAAAAGAAACTGAAGTAGTTTAGTGTGTTTTTAGATATTAAACATTTTCCGGGCTGCTCAATTATCCCATGCACCAAAAACAAAAAGGAAAGTGAATTAAGTAGAGATGCCAGGTCAGGAGCAATAACATTGTAGATTCTTTTTTGGATTTTCTCAAGAAAGCCTGGACAGTTACGTTATCAGGCAAACGTCATATCAACTGTACCAAGGGGCCTCGGTGACGAAGAGGTAGCGAATTAGACTCGATATAGCGCCGCTCGATCATATATTCCGTAGTGGAACTCATCTGAGTCTCGCTTTTACCCATAGGACTGTGCCCCCACGAGCCACGACTACTATCCCCAAACCGCTCCATCCAGAGCATTTATAGCCGGTTCAAGCAAAGATATACAAGTGATAGAAATTATTGGGAGTATTTTGGACTTTGAAGATGGAAGCAACAGTATGAATGTTAGTACCATTCCTGATCTTTTCCCCCTAACCAAGTCTTTTTTCAATGGTTTCTCTCTCTCTCTCTCTCTCTCTCTCTATCTCTCTCTCTCTCTCTCTAGATTTGGAGGTTTTGAGTAATGTGGAACCATCTCTTAATTGCTGTCGTTCCTAGGTCCACTCTAACCCGGAGTGATCGCGCTTGCTAGGGTCACAGCTATGTGCAAATAGTTAACCCCCAAACTGAGGTCAAAATAGCAACCATACATTTTTGTAACAAACAAAATTACAAGCAATACATTTGTCAAAAAAATTACTAATGCTCCGAAGAAAATTAAATTTCGGCATTAAATGACCCATAAGGATGTTGATATGCCGCTAAACAAACAAGTCAACATGATCCAGGGAATAAAGCAACAGTTGACCGAAATACAGAATATTGTATTAAAAAATTTACAGCGAAATGCTTTCGCCTTACTTCCGGGAAATTTCCTTTTGTCAGTGTTGAAATCAGATGAATTGGAAGTGATGGAAGATGACTCCATTTTCAAAGTAAATATTTATTTATACTTAGTTATTTCCTATTGTCAATTTACAAGATTAATATTAAAATTTAAATTTAAAAGTTAATATATGAGGTTACTGAACGTGGTTGTTGCCAAAAGAAAGTAAGAAGTGTACATTATGAAAAGATTTAAGCTGGATAACGGTTGACCCTGGACTTGAATAAGATATATATATATAAGCAATATATTGTTCCCCGAAGATTTGGGTAACTAACGAAGTCGCACAAAAAAAGTATATATATATATATATATATATATATATATATATATATATATATATATATATATATATATTCATGAATTATTCATAAAAAAAACAAATACAAAGGTTAATTGGCGAGAAATCCATCGTCGCGAACAATTCAAATAATATACAAAAACACCGAACCTGTTTATGAATGAAAAAGATCCTTGTTTATATAAATTTCTGTTGCATAAGTTCTTATTATTTTTTACAAGCTTTCGTCTGATCCTACAGACATCCTCAGGTATGGAATAGATTTTGTTCTTGTTTTTTTCTCAGTAATAAGAGGACAACGAAAATATATGTATTGTTGTAATACGAAAAAATGCTATTAGAAATGAGTTATTGTTTTTGAGCGTGCAGTCGCAACGCTGTTTTTAATTTAAATTTTACAATTGTGCGTTCTTATACAAATATGGTGATAAGTGAATTCTTTTTTACTGGTAAATTTTCTGTCAAAGTGGCATGAACTTTATTGTTCAATAATTACAGTAATGTCGCACTTATTATCCAAAAGTTGCATTTGGATCAGTTATTTTAATTTCAATAAAGGTGCAATTAATTTACAAATTCATGAATTATTCATACAAAAAACAAATACAAAGGTTAATGATTTAATTGGCGAAAATCCATCGTCGCGAACAATTCAAATAATATACAAAACCGCGAACCTGTTTATGAATCAAAAGATCCTTGTTTCTATAAATTTCTGGGGTTTTTTGTATATTAAACCATAAAAAATACGTCAAAAAAAAACGACATCCTATATATATATATATATATATATATATATATATATATATATATATATATATATTTTTAGTTCTGCCTAATCACATTGAGAACTATTATGTCTACAATAAAATTTAGTAATTATTCATTTGTTTACCTGTGTATGCACGCCAGCACGAGCATATACGGTTTTAATATCTAGCTATATCATTTACCTAACCATATATATATATATATATATATATATATATATATATATATATATATATTATAATAATAATTGGTTAGAAAGAAACTCGGATGGCACAATTTGCAATTATGTCAAACCAAATTGGTATCCGAGGAAAAATTTATAAAAAAACAGAAAGAACTAGAATTTTCCGAATAGTACAAAAACATCGTCCAGTGCCATAAATTTCTTGTCCAAAGAAAAATTCAAACTCGTTCACACATTGGCTATATTATGATAATTATTTAAAAAATGTAATCCATCACAAACAAATTACATGCAACTTAGACAAGTGTCAAGTACAATAGCCCAAGAACCACGCAAGTTAAAAGATTACTGAATAAAGTTGTTACCAAGAAGTAAATATTGTATGTTATGTAATGCATGATGGACGACGGTTGAATCTGTATTTGAAGAAGAGTTTAAGAATGTGACGCCCGGATAGCGTCCTTTCGGTAGATTGTGTAACAACGTGAAACTCCTGGTGAATAATCTGTCTTAATAATAGAATACGACGTGAATGAGGACGAATCGAGCCCTTGTGGAGGGTCCCAGGTGTGAAGGCCTGAATTTGTGGAACAAAGGAATATATTAGGTTGGTGCAAAAATAATGACGTAAGAATGTCGTTTTTTGACGTAGAAAAGTACGTCAAAAACGACATTCTTACGTCATTATTTTTGCACCAACCTAATAGCTCGTGCTAACATTGGTTATATTGTAATTATTCTAAAAAAATAATTCATCACCTACAATGCAGAAATTATTAAAGCTCCCAAGAAAATTAAATTTTAGCATTAAATAACCCATAAAGATGTTAATATGCCGCTAAAAAAAACAAATCAACATGATCTAGAGAATGTAGCAACAGTCGAGCGAAATACAGATTGTTGTATTAAAAAATGCTTTCGACTTGCTTCCGGGAAATATTAGGTGGTGCAAAAATAATGACGTAATAATATCGTTTTTTGACGTTAAAAAATACGTCAAAAAACGACATTATTACGTCATTATTTTTGCACCAACCTAATATTTTTTTCTCAATGTTGAAGTCAGATGATTTCATAATTCCATTTGATAAGTAATTCAGAATCTCCTGCAACTCTTCTGGGCGGTCTCCTTGATTAAGTTTGAGAATGCTGTCATAATCCTTGCCTTCAGTTCCTCTTTAGTATTACAAGGAGATTTGTTGGTCTCTCACTCAACTGTGCCCCAACACATAAGGGGGTTGTAGTCTTATGTGGGCAGTTGTAAGATGTGAAGTGGTCTGACAGGCATGACTGGGTTCTCTTGTTTGCGTGGCTTGGTGCAGAGTCCTGTTACCAGACATGGGGACTTCCAGCAGCCACCCTCTTGACACAGGGCAGCACTACCCCCTCAAGATACTTGATGTAGGCCTCAGTGTTGAGTCTGAGGCCTTCACCAACAAATTCGGGAGTTCTTTTCTTATCAAAACGATCAAAGCGAGTTTTCTGAGCTACCGTACCTTCGTAATCATCATTAGACTCATCCAACTCTTTCCGAATCCTCTGCATTGACACACAAACATTCTGAAATATTCGTCTTGGAGCATCCGGCGCGAATGCAAAGCAGTACAGCATGCCGTTTCCAAAATTTCTGGTAGAGTGAATTGCATCATGGTCCTCTTTCTCTCACAGACGGTGCCCAACTGACCCTACTATACTGTACAGTCGACAAAATCAAACATAAACAATACGCATGCGCTAAATTAACAATATAAAATGGCGACAATTTATACATCGCATCTTGTATGTATCTATCTATTTTTCTTTCTTTTGTTCAACTATATCTTTCTTTTTAGGCACTTTTTTTCCTATCATTCTGACGATCTATCTTTTGTGTATATCTTTCTTTTTGCGGGTATTTCTTCCTTTCTTCTTCTTTGTCTATATCTCTTTCTTTTTGGTGGGTCTTACTTACTTTTTTTTTGCTTGTCTACATCTTAGTGTTTTGTTCTTCCTTTCTATTTGTGTCTATATATTTCTTGCTTATGGACGTTTCTTTATATCTATCTATCTATCTATCTATCTATCTATCTATCTATCTATCTATCCTAGTCTCTTCTATCTATCTATCTATCTATCTATATATATATATATATATATATATATTCTCTTCATATCTATCTATCTAAATATATATATATATATATATATATATATTCTCATATCTATATCTATCTATCTATCTATCTATATATATATATATATATATATATATATATATATATATAAATATATATATATATATATATATTATATTCTTCATATCTATCTATCTATCTATCCTAGTCTCTTCATATCTATCTATCTATCTATCTATCTATCTATCTATCTATCCTAGTCTTTCTTCGTTTCTGTGTTTATTGCCTGTCTATGCATATCTTCTTAGTGTTTTTTCTTTATTTCTTTCTATATTTCTTTCATTTGGAGAAAAGTACAAGACATTGCAGTAATTAGAGAAGACAGTATATGTGTCGAGATAGACGAAACAAACTTCGGCAAGAGGAAGCATAATAGGGTTAAAATAGTACAGATAGGCATTTCTCATTATAGAAAAATCCCTTGACAGCGGAAATTCAATTCAAGTGTTTTCTTTTAAAACAGAAAGCTACTTAATAACCGGCCGATAAGTCGCTAATGCTTTTTCTAAGCGTGCCGGATGAACGTTAGCCCGATAGCTTACCAATTCTCCAGAATCTATAGATATTGTATTTTCAGGAGAAAATGTCAGTATGACACACCCGACAAACTTTCGAGTCAATTTGGGCGAGTTACATTCCGCTGTTTCACCAGTACGAATTTACACAGCTAGGACCCGGATGTTCACAATCTCAAACCATTCCCATTCCCTTTGTGTGCTTTGATACAGAGCAAGTTCCAACCAGACACATTCATTCCCCAGAAATGTTGCTTCCTGGAACCGACTCCTACGAAGATGTTTCCCTGACAACTATAATCATGCTGTATCTGTCTTTATTTCTGAGATGAGGTAATATGTACACTACTTACATTATTTGGACTATTGCCTTCATCGTTGTTGCCATATTTATTACAACGTTTCGACCTTTCAGTATCTGTCTATATTTCTGAGATGAGGTATTATGTACACTATTTACATTATTCGGACTATTGTCCTCATCTTGGTCGCCATATTTATTACAACGTTTCGACCTTTCAGTATCTGTCTATATTTCTGAGATGAGGTATTATGTACACTATTTACATTATTCGGACTATTGTCCTCATCTTTGTCGCCATATTTATTACAACGTTTCAGCCTTTCAGTATCTGTCTATATTTCTGAGATGAGGTATTATGTACACTATTTACATTATTCGGACTATTGTCCTCATCTTTGTCGCCATAATTATTACAACGTTTTGGCCTTTCAGTATCTGTCTATATTTCTGAGATGAGGTATTATGTACACTATTTACATTATTCGGACTATTGTCCTCATCTTTGTCGCCATATTTAACACAACGTTTTGGCCTTTCAGAATCTGTCTATGTTTCTGAGATGAGGTATTATGTACACTATTTACATTATTCGGACTATTGTCCTCATCTTTGTCGGCATATTTATCAAAATGTTTCGGCCTTTCAGTATCTGTCTATATTTCTGAGATGATGTATTATGTACACTATTTACATTATTCGGACTATTGTCCTCATCTTTGTCGCCATATTTAACACAACGTTTCGGCCTTTCAGTATCTGACTATATTTCAGAGATGAGATATTATGTACACTATTTACATTATTCGGACTATTGTCCTCATCTTTGTCGCCATATTTATTACAACGTTTCGGCCGCTTTACGCTCCGGCCTTCTTCAGGTGGTTGGAATGTCGAACTGAACCCTTTATTTCGCACACTGGGCTAGACTGTTCTAGTTCCACGTGCCATGTCTAATAGATGTCAGTTATCTCCTGTTACTTGCATTTCGGGGTGTGGTTTTGTTTCGACACTGAGCGCTGATCTCTACCAGTCGTTCACGGCTGATTTCCCTCGCCGTCAGTGCGCGAATCAACTTCTCTTCTGCTTCGGTTGGACGAGTTTATTCACTTCGGCTTGAGTTAGGCGAATTTCTTTACTTCGCCTTGGGTTGGACGAATTTCTATTCTTAGGCTTGGTTTTATTTCAACTTCTTCTAGGCGCAACTGCAAGTAACTTCTTCTTCGTCCGAGGCGCAAAACCAAACTCCAACTGCAACTTCTCTGCCTGTCCGGCCTGCAACTCTTCTGCCTGTTTGGCCTGCAACTGATTTCTGTCGATTGGGGTCCTGCTTTTATTGACGCCGTAACAAACTGGGGTGGGTCTGTCGGCGCCAGGGTTTTCTTGATAATTCCAAAAGTCGCATTATTTCTGATTTCCCATTATCGCTCTTACTTTCACTCCTACTTCCTTACAGTGCCTTCTGATTAACTAGTTAACAAACCGAATAAAAATAAATCATATTTTTATGAATATCTCTTTTCAGTTTTCTAATAATGCAGGGTGCCACATATGGATGTTTTATTTTCCGAACACAGTCAGAATATTGTGGCCGTGTTCGTAACTAATATTGGCTTTTCCATTTCATTATTAAGGCTTCCATTATTTTAAATCTTTTTACTTGCTATTAAGCCTAAGCCTGTATTTTTCTTTATTTACATGTGGATGAGGTTATTATGCTTGTATTTTCTACTCGTATGTTTCTGATGGGGGATGGTAAGTTTGTGTGTGTGTGTTTAAATGGGTTCTACGGAAACTGTGGTCGGATGGGTGTAACATAAATCGCCCGGATAGGCATGTAGTAGTGTGACCGATGTAATTATCTATCAAGAACACAATTTCTTGAGGGATTTTTGAACTTGTAAATAATGTTGGTTCTTTGTAGATTTGATTTTGAAGGTGTGTTGTTATTTTTGAGGATGAGATTTTTTTGCTTTTTTTTTTTTTTATTTGCCTGCAAGATTTATCCGTTGCATCCGAAGTCTGTTGATGTGGGTTCCATAGATGTGATGTTTGTCTGTATATATATAAGTAGCTGTCCAGAAACATTTCTACTTAATAAGCGAAGAAACACTTTGGTCAACCCAGTATATATATATATATATATATATATATATATATATATTGAAGATTAAAACAAAAACATGTTAAAAATCGCTACACAATAGCAATCGTGTTTCAACACTACAAATGTATCTCCTCGGGCGATGGTAAATTACTGGCGAATGAACGATTAATTTAATTTCAAAAATAGAATACTTCCTTAATTTTTGGGAAAAAAATAGAACTAAAAGGAGGCTTGTGCGTTTAAATTGAATAACCAATCAAATATGACCACCGCCAAATTCAAACTAACCTATTTTTCTTTTTAGATAGCTCATGACATGAAGTAGTCTACATATAAATCCTAGACAATTTCATTCGGGACAGATACAAATAGTTACATTATTTCGTAAAAATATATAGAAGCATGACATTTAACTTTTACTAGAAGTTAAAGGGAAAGAGGGGGTGAGGTAATTTGTTAATTAGTTATGTGCTCGGTCTATATAAAATTTTGTAGTTGATAGTTAAAAGGCCTCTTTAAGAAACTGGTAAATAACTTGACCGTTTAAAAAAGGAAATCAGATCATAAATACAAAACTACTTTGGCAAATTTACATGCAACTGTTAAGTAAAAAACATCCATATCAGATGTTAATAATGCTAACAAATCAATTTAAATGTTAATAATAGTAACTATTCATGTGTACATCCATATCAGATGTTAATAATGCTAACAAATCAATTTAAATGTTAATAATAGTAACTATTCATGTACATCCATATCAGATGTTAATAATGCTAACAAATCAATTTAAATGTTAATAATAGTAACTATTCATGTGTACATCCATATCAGATGTTAATAATGCTAACAAATCAATTTAAATGTTAATAATAGTAACTATTCATGTGTACATCCATATCAGATGTTAATAATGCTAACAAATCAATTTAAATGTTAATAATAGTAACTATTCATGTGTACATCCATATCAGATGTTAATAATGCTAACAAATCAATTTAAATGTTAATAATAGTAACTATTCATGTGTACATCCATATAAGATGTTAATAATGCTAACAAATCAATTTAAATGTTAATAATAGTAACTATTCCATCCATCAGATGTTAATAATGCTAACAAATCAATTTAAATGTTAATAATAGTAACTATTCATGTACATCCATATCAGATGTTAATAATGCTAACAAATCAATTTAAATGTTAATAATAATAGTAACTATTCTATGTGTACATCCATAGATGTTAATAATGCAACAAATCAATTTAAATGTTAATAATAATAGTAACTATTCCATATATCAGATGTTAATAATGCTAACAAATCAATTTAAATGTTAATAATAGTAACTATTCATGTGTACATCCATATAAGATGTTAATAATGCTAACAAATCAATTTAAATGTTAATAATAGTAACTATTCATGTGTACATCCATATCAGATGTTAATAATACTAAGTAGACATCAGTACAGAGCTACATCAATGAATCTTACAAATAGAATAGTAAGTCATATAAGGTGCACTGCAGTTCATTATTACAATAAGGAAAAGCATTATCAAATTCAAAGTTTAACCATATTGTAAGTTAAAAGGTTGAATATGTCTCCAGGTTACAGTTAATTCACTTGTTTCGTTTAATAAGGATTTTTATCAAAAAATCTGATAATTTCTAGTTTCTCTTGTATATGCTCTAGCTTCATTTTTTTTTTTTTTTTTTTTGAAAGTTTCCATTTTATTGTAGGAGTTTTATTACTTTCTTTTAAATTCCCAAAATATTTAGAAAGAGATGTACTATTTTTATAAATTATATTGGTTAAGGGTAAGATGTGTTGGTACCACCTAGTCTTAAAAGAATTCTTAGTACTACCAATATAAAATTTTTCAACAGTCGGATTCTCTATTGTCGATATAGTACTTAGATAAACAAGATAGTTGATCAAACATTCGTTTCGTAATGGGCAATCGTTAGAAGTTTTGCAATTATATTGGTTAATATTATCAACAGTATTTATCTTGGAATGTGCATTATTATCAAAATTTTTAAATTGGTTTAAAATTTTATTATTTTGTTTACTTATAATCTTCACAAGATTATCTCTGCAGCTATAACTTAGTTTTAGTGTGTTTCTGTTAAATATGTTACTAAAAGGATTAATTTTATCAATTAAATGGAAGAACTTCAGACCTAATGTAGTACTGACCAATTGGTTAAATGGGGATGTGTACCAAATGATTTTATTATTCTTATTTTTTTCCTTAGATTGCTATTATCATGTTTTCTATACTTGATTTCAGCGTAAATGTAACCACATTTTTTAAGCAGCATTAAAAACACCGATATATTTATTAAGCACATCCTTGTCAGATGAGTTGCTGGTAATCCTACATTCTATAGATGAGAGTATATGTTTGATTACAGATGGAGAGTGGTTACGATAGGGGTGAATATATATCTGATTAGCATTATTTTTATATAAGGTTGCAATACATCATTAACAAGATTTAATGTAACACCAAGAAAATCTACCCGTTTAACATTACTAGTTATCTTCACCTTAAATTTTCAGATTTAAAAAAGGCGTTTGATAAATTACACCACAAAGATCTGTTGGAACGGCTTAGCAACCTATATTGGCTGTAAACTGCCTGCATATGGAGAGAAAATGAGTTTAGCAGATATACAAAAATAGAATGGGATGTAAGACAAGGATGTGTCTTCTCGCCGGATTTTTTCAACCTATAGAGCGAGGCAATTCTTAGGGAACTAGATGTCCTACCAGGATTCAGTATTAGCAGCCACTATCTTAACAACATAAGATATGCAGACAACACAGTGTTGATAGAAAGGAAACTATTAAAGATCTTACAGAAGACAGTGGAGGAAAACGAGAAGAAAGGATTAAACATCAACTGAAAGATAACAGAATATATGGTTGTTAGCGAAAGGATGAATCTAAAGTCGGAATTGCAAATAGGAGATACCATAATCAAACAAGTGCGGACATTTAAATATCTTAACAGAGGACGTAAAGAGCGACAATGAGATCCGAAAGCGTATCGGGATAGCCAAGGAAGCATTCTAGAAGCTAAGCAGAGTTCTAAGAAATAGGAATATTTGGCTAGAAACAAGGGAAAGAGTACTAAACTGATGCCGTGATATTTCCCACATTTCCTATAAAATGAAGATATCCCTTTTTTTGTGAACATGCTTACTGATATTGCCGCCCTGGGTAACACGATAAACTGCATCTGCGTCCTGGGTAAGACGATAAACTGCATCCGCGTCCTGGGTAAGACGATAAACTACATTCGCGCTCTGGGTAAGACGATAAACTGCATCCGCGTCCTGGGTATGACGATAAACTGCATCCGCGTCCTGGGTATGACGATAAACTGCATCCGCGCCCTAGGTAAGACGATAAACAGCATCCGCGTCCTGGGTATGACGATAAACTACATCCGCGTCCTGGGTATGACGATAAACTGCACCCGTGCCCTGGGTAAGACGATAAACTGCATCCGCATCCTGGGTAAGACGATAAACTGCACCCGACAGCAAGATCTCTGATCAGGAGGTTTTGAGGAGTGTGAAACCACCTCTTAATTGCTGGTGTTCCCAGGTCCATCCTGACCCGGGATGGTAGCAACTATCAGGGTCCCAGCTATGGGCAAATAGTTACCCCACAAAAAGGGTCAAAACACTATGAAAGTATAAAAATAGTTTTCAATAGCAGCAATACTTTTTTGGAAAAATTTTAACCTGCAATACATCTTTGGAAAAAAAAATATTACCAGCCATTTTTTAAAAGCAATTACCAGCAATACATTTTAAAAAAAAATATTACAAGCATTGTCGGCATTAAATAACCCATTGAGGTTGATATGCCGTACGACAAATCAAACTAAAGCTTACTGATATGGTTTATACTAATATCCTGATCTTTAAATAACCTGCAAAGGGTCGATAAAGCGGAGAACATCAATCAATAACCGCTTGAATTACATCGGCACAAAGAGGGAGAAACGTGGGAAAATTAATAAAATGGAACAAGATTTGAAAAAAAAGGCTTCTGAATTAGAGTTAAGAGAAATTCAAGACAAGCATTAGTTAAGAGAAAAGAAACAGCCTGAAAGTAAGAGAAAGGAGTAAATGTAAAGTAACTTGTGATTGGTTGAAAAGGAGCTTTTTGAAGAACAAGAATGGAAACTAAAAGCACTATAATATCAGCTCAAGATTAGGATATTAGTATAAACAATATCAGTAAGCTTTAGTTTGATTTGCCTTACGGCATATCAACCTCAGTGGGTTATTTAATGCCGACAATGCTTGTAATATTTTTTTTTTCAAAAGTTTTATGAAAATTCCTCTATATTCTGCAAACCGGTGGATATTTCCCCTTTGCAAGAGAATCTTCCGGATTTTATTAAACTTACATTGAAACTCTTGTTTCGGTCTGACCCCCTAAGTTAATTACTGAAATTAGACCCCTTCTCCCTACAGTTCGCATGAGATAAAACCTTTCAATATCAGCTTGTAGGTGGTGTGCGCCACGTATCGTTCAGGGGTTCCCCCACTTTTTCTGTACAGGTTCTGCAATCAAGGACACCTGCACGAAAACTTTTTATCGATACGGTTTGAGCAATTGATAACTGATATTGGGCTGCCCTTAATTAATGTTGTCGTTGCTACTGCTATTGGGAGCTACAGCGGGCGATAGAAAACCCTGGTGATTTCTCATCATTTCCATACAGAAACGGGTGCTCAGAGCACTACCGTTCCTACCGTCTGAGCAAGCGCAACAGGTTCGCCTTGGTATGAATGTTTTTCCTTTGATTGCCTGAAAATATACGTTTCTTATATCCCACCCCAGCCCGTCAGTGTGCTTACAGCGGTGCCTATTTTGGGCGGGTATGTATGCTTGTGCGTGAGGGGTGCGTTCCCTGGACCCGACCCTCACTCAGCGCGTGATATATACACTGCATTGATGTTATACCAGGATTCAATAATCACACCTTTAAGGTAAGATAATCTTTCTCCACAAACAAAAAATAAAAATAATTACTTACAAACAACATGCATATATATATATATATATATATATATATATATATATATATATATATTATGCCAAGAATGGAAGGTGCCAGGATTGGATATATATCATTAATTCCCGTAACCCCCTTGGCGTCGACGAAGTGAACGCGTTATATAGGCAGGTACCGAGTTAAAACGCTAAACAAGGTTATATTTCTGCATATGTCAAGATGGAGTAGAGGAGTCGAAATTGTAAGGTGGAGGAAGGCTGGGTCGGTGCCGGTGGGTGTGAACACGGGTGGGGAATTCAACTACATGGCCGAAGGGGAAACATGTTGAGGGTAGGATAAGGGTGTCTGTCCGGGTGGGAACCTAACCTTTTTGCCCTTTTGAAAGCCATGACTACTCGAAATGACAGCACGGGGAAAACATGATATGGTCGATAAATAAATAAATGAATAAATAAATAAAATGAATAAGTGAAAATGAAAAAAGGAAAAGAAAAAGAAAGATTCAGAATAAAAAAGATGGCGGGTAGGATAGGGAAGAAGGAATGAAAGAAAATTGAAAAAATAAAAGTAAGATTAAAAAAAGAAAGACAGGGAAAAAAATGATGAAAGAAAGAAAGAAAGAAAGGAGTTCAAAGGGAGGATACAAAAGTGGAAAGGAAAGAAAGAAAGAAAGAAAGAAAGAAAGAAAGAAAGAAAGAAAGAAAGGTGAAAGGAAATATTGTTTGGAAAGAAAAGAAAGAAAGAAAAGAGAAAGGAAAATAAAAAAAAAGAAAGACAAAGCGGAGAAAGAAAGAAAGAAAGAAAGAAAGAAAGAAAGGAGTTCAAAGCGGAGTGATACAAAAGTGGAAAGAAAGAAAGAAAGAAAGAAAGAAAGAAAGAAAGAAAGAAAAAAAGAAAAGAAAGGTGTTCAAAGGAGTTCAAAGGGGAAAAGTGAAACAAAAGTGGAAAGAAAAAAGAAAGAAAGAAAGAAAAGAAAAAAAAAAAAAGAAAGAAAAGAAAGGAGCAAAAGAAAAGAAAAAAAAAAGAAAGAAAGAAAGAAAAAGAAAACAAAGAAAGTGGAAAGAAAGAAAGAAAGAAAGTAAAAAAAGAAAAAGAAAGGAAAGAAAATAGAACAGAAAAAAGAAAAGAAAAAAGAAAGAAAATAAAAAAAACGAAAGAATTAATGAATGAAAAAAGAAAGA